ATGAAGCCTTTTCTCTTTTAACAGTGATTACTTCTATCATCTCATGTGCCTCAAGAGCTTTGTCAGCTCAGTCAGTTGACGTTATACTGCATAGCGCAGTTAGTGCAAATGGCCTAGAAAGGCAACTAAGGAAATGTCTTCATCTCTTGTCATCACAAGAGAAAATACCTGCACATCAGGTGAGGACAGGGGCTGTTACAGAAGGGAGATTGATGGAAGGTGGCACAGATAAGTAGAAGGCTCTTCAGCCTTTGCTGTCCATGCCACTAACGTGAAGGCTGAACGTGGAGGAAATCCTTGAAGTGGGGAGTGTAAGGTTGGTGAGGCAGTGCAAGTAAAAATAGTACGTGCAGCATTTTTGTGCATAGTCCAGTGACCTCAGAAAGGCAAAGCAAACTCAGGGAAGGTCATATTTGAACTAGAGGGGACTGCTTTTAAAATGGTGCTTTGGACACATGGCAGGCAAAGGCAGAAAGGTGAAGTGGCCAGTGAACACCAAGGTGTGTAAGAGAGTGAAGAAAGAATTGTTGTGTGTGCTAGAGCAGCAACGTGATTTTATGGACTAGGCTGGATGAGGAAATATCTGTAAATGTATTTAAGCAGTGAGGCTGGATGCCAAAAGAGGGGAAGGTAAGGAAAAACTGGAAAGCAATTGCATGAGGTTGTGGAAGAAAACTGTGACAAAATACTTCGAGCTACATAATGATGATTTGGAAAATAATGAAAATGCAGTGGAAAACTAGGGGCAAAGCTGAAAGCTGTGTTGGCAGATTTATAATATCAATGTTCGGAAATGTTCTTCAGATGTTTATTCCAAGGCCACCTGGAAAGGTACAGTGAATACAGATCAAAAAGGCCTTGAGAAAGATGAAATCAGGCTAGATTTCAGCTATTGCTTAAACATGCCTCCCCTTCAGTCCAGCAGAAAGTGGAAGTAGTGTAAATGTTCGGAATTTTGGAGAGCCCTGATAGATCTGCATGATGTAATAAATAATGATCTGAATTATATTTAATTTTTTTTTAATAATAAAGAACTTTATAGCTAAGCAGCAAGCTGAAAATTAAAACTATCAGTTTTTTGCAGGATAGTCCTTCTGTGAACTTGATACAGCATTCATATAGTGACTAGTTCTTTGGAATGTGAGCCCTGCTCAGTCACTCTTATGAGATTTCTTTTAAATACATTACTATTTCTTTACATGGATCCAAGACTTTCTCACTTGCTTCTAAAGGAAGGGATAAGGTCCAGGATCAGGTGGTTTGGAATGAGCAGGCAGCCCATGCTGCTGAGCCACAGCCAGGTCAAAGTGCAAAGTACTTTGATCCTGGAAGAATCAGAGTGCAAAGGGGCAGTTTATCTCCCTGTCAGCAATAAAACAGGGAGGTAATATCTGGTTACAGTGACCTTGGAGATGGAGACACACACACACAGGTAAGCAGACTGGGAAGTCAGAAGCGTGTGCAAAGCAGCTGTGGGATTGTCAGAATGTTTCTAAGCAGAGACACCATGATCCAGACATTGCTGAAAGGTTACTTGGTCTGATATCCAAGGAGCCCTAATTAATAATAATGTCAGCAGCTTTAAAAGCTTTACAGCAATCTGCAAGTTGCATCAGTGAAAGGTTTGAATTGCAGGAGTGAGTCCCTGTTTATGTTGAGTATACAGGCATAGGCCCGAGGCAAACTGCCTTGTAAACAAATGTTGGATTGGATCGGCAGTATTGCCAAAATATTTACTAGTTTTCCTTTTGGGTCAGGTGATTGAAACATCATTTCCATGCTTTCATTGCACAGAGGTGGCCTGAAAGGAGATGGAGGATTAAAACAAAATAGTTTGGCAGGGTTTTGGCCAGGGCTGCCAGAACAAACACAAATTTTGTGTAGGGAAAGGAGGCACAGAGGGCTGTGTCACTCGCAGCTCCTTCTGTGTCAGTGATTCAGAGCTTGACCAAGACCTGAAAGACAGAACCTCTCAGTTCCCTGTTGTCAGTCTGTTCTTCCCACAGAAATACTGTTTGCCAGCAGTGCTTCAGGAGAGAGAACACTGTTAGTCTTACCGTGATTCCAGGTGATTAGAACTGTGCTCCATAATGTATAAACTGATACTGGATTTTATTTATAGTACTGACTATTGTCCTTGTGAGAAAGATTCCAAGGATGAGGAGAAAGAACTCTCCCCCCCCCCCCCCAAGACATCACCACAGAACCTTATTCAGTCTGTCAATAGAACAGCAGAATAATCCAAAAAGGAGGATGAAAAATTTTGTCTTCGCAAAAGCAGCTGAATTTTCTCTGTATGTGGAGTCAGAACTGTGGGCACTCAGACCTTTGAGCAGCAGTTGCTGATCACTTCTCGGGCATATCAGACCTGAAAATCCAGGGAGCATGTAGGACACAGTGCCTCAAAAAGTTACCCACCTTCTTTTCTGAGGTTTCCTTAGCTTAAGAGGAGCAGTCAGAACAAGGAAAAATATCCTTTGATAGGTTCTACTTTTACCTCAGAGTTGAGGCAAAAGAGCTGGAAATTTTGGCGTGGAACTGAGTGAAGTATAGAAATGGCCAGGAAATTAAGAGGTAGCTGGCAGAGTTAATGAGAAGGCAAATACTGTTCAAGACCGCACTCCAGCAGAGTTCCTGCTCACCTTCTACCTCTTTTCAATCCCTTTTGGCAGACCTTGAAGCTTCTGTGTCAGTGGGAAAGCTCATTTCTGAGAAGGTTCTGTTGAGAGCTTTTTCTCTGCCTGTAGGATTAAAGTTTCTTCAAATCCTTTTCCATTCCCTGAAACCCCCAAATTACTCTACCACAACACCCCAGATTCCTCACCCTTCTCTCAGGTGTTGATTTGGCTGCTTCTATGTATAGATTCAAAGCACAGCCCTTTAAATTGACATTGTTGGAACAAATCTTCCTTTCTTAAGACTGTGAAAGCTTTTTAAAAATTTTTATTCCCCCTCACCCAAGGCATTACTCCTAATAAAACTAATGTATAACTAAAATTTGTTTTAGAAGTCTCTATATATAGACACTGACCTGTCATTCAAATTGGCTGGGTATGCAAAAGCTGCGTAAAATTAAAAATTAATGAAAGCACACAACAGACACAAGAAACCTGGCAAGTAACAATAAACCTCATCCACTTAACATGCAATCACCCTGCCTAAAACCAATAAGCATGCCAAACAGGCAGGACAGGTTGTGTGCAGAAGGATTCTAGATTATCTTGTTATAACGCACTAAAGCTGTAGTTCAACCAGTTTTTATTTGAAAGCCAGTATTACCACAGAAAGGAGGAGTCCCATGCCTGTGAACTTGCTGGTGGGTTTCCACTTTCCGTGCTGGTCTCTGTATCCTCCACCCCCTTTCTCTGATCCTGCTTGCACTGGGATTACTGGGTGACTGTGGGTGAGGCATCTGAGGAGCTCATTTACATCGGCGGGGGAAGCAGCAGGAAAAGCATCCAAGGGCTATTTTTCTACTCCTGCAGTCCCTCGATGATGTTTTCCACACTTATCTGGGATGTTTCCAGTGCTACCCAATACTTCAAACTAGGATGGGAAGAGGCAACTTGGAAGCATTTAAGCAGGCAGGCACCTGAAACGGGACACCCTTTTCTCCCAGTACATCCCTGTGCTCAGTTCCTGTGCTTTGTGTGCAGATGAGAATGTTTGGCTATAAAATATGCCCCTCGTTCTTGTAGATATGGTGTGAAAATAAAACTTGAAAAGGGGAGTATCATCCCTTGCTGCCACAGACCTGCCAGGGAGCTTTACCTCCTAAAACCATACCCTACTTTTTTCCCTGCACCTGCTTATCATGAGTTCAGCTGTTCTTTCTGTAATTAACATAATTAATTAACTATTTAATTAATTAAATAAGCTCCAATTAACATATCACAGCTCTTACTGGAAAAGATGTGCAGAGCCTTGTGGAATAAGAGCAGGCAGGCTGCTGTTGCTTAAAATGTAGGTGGTTTGTGTGTGCCTCCATCATAATGTGAATTTCAGTTTTAAATTAGAAAGCTGATGAGTCTTAAATCCTTGCAAGACAGACTTTTCTTCTAAACTGATCTCCATAAAAGTGAATCAGTTTGCTGTGGGGGTAGTTCAGTATTTTGGGAAGTGCATGTTTTCTGTTTGTGAGCTGCAGGTACCGATGTGGGAAGAAAATGGTAACGCAGTTTCCATCAGTACTACCAGCATGTGTGGGGGAATGCCCAACTGCAGGGAGATTCAAAGGGTTGGCAAACCTTACACTATCCTGACAGCTCCTTTCTGATAGCAGCACACATCTACATGATATTGGTCTGTTGACAGATGGGCTGGTTTGAGAGAGTATCAAGTTAAAAATGGCCCAGTCACACATTTCTGACCAGGGAAGGTGACTCTGAACCGGGTGCCGGTTCTGGGCAGTTGCTGCAGAAATCCTCTTTTTCATACCAACACTCTGCAGCCAATACTGACACCCTGGTCGAGGCAACCCCCTGTCCAGGAACCTCTCCCTGCTTTGCTCAAATGCTTTCTGTCCACTCAGTGTGGGAGCTGCTTCATAGTCTTGGTTCAGAAGTGAATTTGGAAAACCTCCATCATCTGCCCTGTACCCCAACTAACTGTTCCTCTCATAACCCGTTCTGTGAACAGTAACAACAACCACTGCAGGGGGTAAAAAAGAGGGATATGGGTGGAATGAAGATAAGTTTTGTAGGTCTTGGAGAAGGAGACTTTGTGGACAAATAAGTGATTTCCTTCACTTGTACTAAGAAGCTGGTAACTTTTTTTTTCAACTTCTCAAGCTCTCTGTCATTGAGTTGCAAGGGAAGAGCAAAATGTCTTTTCACATTTGCCCAGCATGCTCGTGGAAAGTCACCTCTGTGATAAAGACTGCAGAAATTGGAGTCTAGATCATCATTTGCCATGGAAGATCTCTACACTGTACTACAGCATTACTGGGTTTTCAGTCTTGCATTTCATATCCTCACCATTTTTTTGCTTCTGTCCTGTAGGTAAGGCACAGAACTTCAGACCAGGTGATGGCTTTGAAGATGAACACACTGAACAGCAACAGAGCAAACATGCTGAAGGAGGTTCAACTTATGAATAGACTCTCACATCCAAACATCTTAAGGTACACTGGCTTTTCTTTCTGAATTATATAGAGATAAGTTGTCTTTAGTAAGGCTGTCCTATTTTCGATCTTTATTTATTTGTTTTCTTATACTGTATCTGTTGTGAATGTGTTAAGATCAGTTGCTAATTTAATAGAAGAAGGGAGAGGAGGAAGAAAAGACTTGAGAGAAAAAAAAAACCAAAACATCCCACGGACACGATTTTCTTATCTGGAGTTTACCAGTAGTGAGTAACAAATGTCAGAGAAAAAAACCAAATGTTCACATTTTAAATTTCAAATGACTCAGTAAAGTGATATGAAGAGGGAAATTTGGCTTCTTTCGGGGAATTTAAATTATTGCAAATTTAACACCATTCAAATAACCTATGGTTACTAATCTTACAGATCAGCAATGCAAAGTGCCATAGCTGCTGCTGCTTATTTTTAGGTCTGCTTCCTAGTTTTTAGCATTTTCTTATTGTAGTATTGCCAGGTGGTATAAGAGGGACGGAAGAAAGGAAGCTAGAGTTGAACTAATCTGATTTTTCTGCTCCTGAAAGGAAAAAAGGTAGTTCTTGCTTTGCAATAGGTTTCTGCATGCAAATCCAAAATGTTTCAATGTGTATGTCGTTATTTCTTGAATCTTTTTAGTCTTGGTTACTCTTCTATGATGATGTGACAAGCAATTAAGATAATTAGCTGAAGCCATAACATTATGAAATGTAAAGATGTGATGACAGTGTACTAAATAACCAGCTCTCCCCAACTGCTGTTGTGCAGCTGGGATCCATTTTTGATCTCAGGCAGTGCAGCTCTTTCGAAAAACCTTCAGAGACACAGTGACCTTTGCTACTTCATTTCTTCTTTTTCACCTCTCTGTTAAATAGTACAGACATAGAGCACTGATTCCTAAAATCCTCTATAACCAACTTTTTTGATCCATAAAATCCCATCTTAGTCTTCGTCAACTGATGTGTAACAATAGAATTTCCTTCAGTATTTATGAGGACACCTGTCAGAAGCATTTGAAATATTTGTAGGGAGCATTCCATTAATTCATGTCTGTATTCTTTACTTTTTTTCTTAAAACCTCAAAAACCTGTGAACTTAGAGAATTTTTACTTGTAGTAAACTGTATTGGTTTTATTACAATATATTTATTTGAGTGGTGTAGGAATCTATCCTTAATTACAATTCTTAGTCTGTTTTCTCTGCTCTGTTCCCAGCAAGTCTTCCTTCTGTTTGGCTGTTTGTTTTTAGTTTTAGTTCTCCCATTTTTTTTTTAAATTTAAATTTTATTACCTATCTGGCTTTTTAGATTTCAGGATCACTAGTTGTTTCTTATGTCTATCCCCCACACCTTTCCCTCAGAATCCTTAGATAGGCAGCACATGATCCTGGGGACTGATCCAGCTGCGTTTTTAGTAAGGTTTGTGGAAAGAACAAGTTCATAGGATTGTCAGAATCACTTCATCGTCTTCTTTATCAACTTTGTGTGGTTTGTAAATCTTATTTTGTAAAAAAATCTAAGCATTTGGTTGCACCTTGATGTAACCTTGCTCCCCCTTGAATGGAATTACTGAGGTGTTGCTGGAAACAAAAGTTACTGTGCTCAGTCCTGAGTAATTGCTGCAATTCAAATGTTTTATGTTGTCTGAGAGATCATATCTGTGATATACTGGTCCCCCCTGGCCTTAGAGCCTGTGAATGATTTGAAGTCAGGGGTGTTGCACAGATGGTCCTGAAGGAAGAACAATAATGTATTGATTTATGCCTGAAGCAGAAAAGGAATTTCATTTGGTCTCCCAGTTATTACCCGGGATTGATAGAGAAGTCTTTCTCTCTGTGTGCTCAGCTAGGCAGTTATGAGTGAATACATCAGAAATAAATGACTTAAATAGAAACAATTTATCTTTGCATAGTTTGTTTTGGAGGAAAAGCTGCGTTTGATTTATTAATGGCTTGATTTGAGGCTTCTTCTTAGAGAGTTGGTTCCCTGGTAAAAAAATACTGCCTTTTTCTTATCTGTTAGGTGAGTCTCCTTGCTACAGGAAATGCAAATGGGAAAACAGTGTTTAATTTTAGTTTATTCTTTGATTGAAAAATTTGCCCTGATAGTGATAAGCGGTGAGAGGTTGTATTGCTTGTTTGACAACATTGTGTTGTCAAAGAAGAGCAGCTGGAGTTGCATTGCTGAGAGGCCCCCAGGAAAATGTTCTGCAGCAACATGTTCCCATTGAAACATTTTCTGGGATTATTTTTGGAAATTTTAAGCTTATATTAGTATTTAAAGGGAACATCCTCTTCCAAGAAGTTCTTATGTATAACTTCTCCAGGGGCTATGAGCTACCTCAGCTTGCCGTTAAATATTATTTTCTTCACTTCATTTCTGTCCTTTGAAGTTTTCCCTCCATATTACTGAGTAAGGTGTTTTGTCACCAGCATCAACTTTACTTCTCTGCTGATTAGTCACTGGATCTCTTCCACAAGCCTTGAAGGTGTACTCTGCTTTTTATGGAATATAGAACCTCTGAGCTTCTTCATATTCTGTAAGCTCTGGGACTACCTGCTGTTAATTTATGCTGTAAAAAAAGCAGCTTTCCTTAGTGCTGGTCTGTTTTTAGCCAGTAAGGATACGAGTGGGTTCTTAGGCTGAAATGTGGAGATCATGTTGTGCAGGGCTTGGTTGTAGCAGGTAAGGGCTGTGAGGTGCTCTGATATCAAATGGCTTGTGAAATTATGAAGCTGGGTAGATACTGGCTTTGCAGCTTCCGGATTTCTGCTCTCAACCCACTTCAACATTTGCAGTTTAAATGTTTTAGAAAGCCAATGTCAGGTTTAGCAATGATGTATTTATTTTAGTGTACTAAAATATTGCTTAAGCTGAGTGTGTGGTTGTGTTTTTGAATGTGTCCTGGTGCTTTGGTACCTGAAATTGGTAATTCAATCAGTACTTTTGTCCTGTAACTTTTGTAGTTTATACGAACTAAGTGATATGGAAGAGAGAAGAGGCTCATTATTATCCTCTGGATGCTTAAAACCCCCATCCCTTTAGTGCTCTAAAATATAGAGCTTTGTAACTTCTTACAAACTGTCAATGATGTTACTGCAAAGATTTGGTGGTTTTGCCATTGGTTGCACTGATGTGAGTAATAAATATTGCTGACTATTTAAAACTGCTTTTGCTTCTGTGCTGCCCATATCAATTCCTTTTTGGAGTCAGAGATGCCTATTGAGGTTTTTATCCAGGCTGTGATCACAGTTCTGAAGTTTGTCAGTAGTTGTTGGCTTCCTCCCATTCCTTAGCTCAGCAGAGATTACCTGGAGGCAGGTCCATGTTTTTACCTCAGTGACACTCCTGTACTGTCTGAGGAGGTGCAGTTGGGTTAAGGTGTTTCAGTTTCTCTGCTTCTAAAATGTGGTGAAGTAACAATTTGAGTATTTAGGCTTTGAAAGCCTTTTTATTCGCAGAGTGAAAGGCTGACTTTAAATCTCCCCACTCATTTCCCCGTTTCTGCACTCAAATTCTGCTCCTGGCCAGCTGTGTAGATCCATCTTAATCAGCAGACTGATGTAAGTGAAGAGTTAGTTTTCACTTACACAGTCCCCAGTAAGTATATCTGTCCCCATGGTAGGACCATAAAGATTCCAGTGGTCAAATATATGTGTGTATATAAATTTCTAATGTATTTTCCATCAAGAAAATGAGAAACTCCCCTCTCTTAGAGGGTTTATTTTGGCAAAAATAGAGCCTCTTTGTTAGTCTGTTAAGGATATTTTAGGATAGACGAGTTCAGCTCTTGCAGCTACACAGCCATGATGGTAAAAAGTAAGGGAATTTGGGAGTTTTTTTGTTTGTCTCCCTTCCTCTTGTTTCCTGTTTCAGCTAGCAGAAATGATTCCAGAAGCAGAAGAGATGTTAACTATAATGGAGTAACTTTTTGTTCAGTCACTGTCTGGTGTTCATAACAAACTATGTATGAAAAAGCTGCTTATTTTTTTGTTTTTTTTCCCCAGGGTCCAGCTTAGGGACACTTTAGGAGTGGACAGAGCAGGAGAAGATGAATGTTTTTCATGTTTTATTCTGTTTCTACCATCAACTTCATCTCCTGTTCCACCTCACACCTGCACATGAGCTAAACATGGAGAACTAAAATGCTTTTCTGCCTCTGATCTACACTTCTCCCTGCTTTGGGTGTGGGATGTGCTGGTCTTATCACATCTTCCCTCAGAACAGATGGTGAGGGGAGGCATGAGAAAGTGAGCTGGACTTGTGTTTTGTCCCATGAGATGTTTACTATAACCGCTTTAATACAGGTTGGGTGATACATGGCAAGACTGTCATTGCTGGGGGTAGGGAAGGCAGAGGTTTGGAGCATTTTTTCGCTTCCTTATTAACCTGTTTCTATTTAAAGGGCAGAGCTGTTCAGGGCTTGGGTCAGATCTGGTACCAGAGCTGTGAAAGGTTTGGTGTGTGCTTGTAAATGTGTTCTGCTGTTTTGCTGATTCCCTGATTGCTGGTGTGCTGCTGTGTAGTCATGAGTTTTTCCCCAAATCAAAGTAAGAAAATAGGGCTGTAAAGGACTCAGGAAATCTCTGTCCTTTTGCCCTGGCTGGGAGCCTTTGGGCTGGAGTCTGGGAGACCTGATACCTTTCCATTTTGGTAATATCATGGAGGTGTTTTTTTTTCATATGCACAAGTGCAGTGCTGTGCTACCAAAGATTCCCTGTCTCCTGTGCTGTCTCTTAAATTAGTGTATCTTCAATTTTGAGCTAGAATTTCAGTCTTTAATATCACGACTGTTTGCATCTGTACCTCGGGGACTTGAGTTAAACCACTCTGTGTACAGAAAGCCTCAGCTCATGCCTTAAGTGCTCTCGTGGGAGCTCTTGGAGGTATTGCTGCATGTTTGGCTGTGAGCATGAAGGCAGATTGACTCGTGGATTAAACCCACCTCCTCGTGCCTGCCTGCACACAAATAAGCACACAGTGTGTGTATTCCATGAGCTTCTTCCAAGAAGAATTTTATTTCTTCTCCCTTGAGGCAAATCCAGCACCCTGGGAACACAATACCAGGGTTTTTTTCTGTGTGCAGTTTTCTCCTTTCAGACCTTCCTTTCTGTGAAATTACTCATGATGGACTTTTGTTACAATAGCCAGAAGGATGGATTTTGTCTTCTAACATCCTTTGTCATGTGTTGAAAAGTGCTTTAACAGGAAAGAAAATTACTTTTGCTTCTCTTTGTGTAATGTGATTATCAAAAAGGATTATTGCAGGAATGCAGTGTGCAAGGCAGCAGAAGAGAGGCTGTGTGTGCTGTGTGTAGTATGTTACAGAAATGATAGATTGAATGCCCTACCTCTGTCCAGAACCAAAATGCAAGTCTAGAAAACGTAAAATACATTTTTAATCTATCATGGTGCCTAAAACATTAATGCAGACCTGATATTCTTACCTTCTTCCTTCTCCAAAAATCAGTGCAATGAAATAGGAGGGTGTCTTCTGACCTCTTGTCTCTTTACGTTACTGAGCTCATATCAGAGACTGTTGCATTGGTGTGTTTGGTTTGTTTTTTCTGTTTAATGTTATCAAAGTGCTGGATTTCCTCATACAAGCAGTAAATTTCTGAGGGCATCAATTTATTTTGCTGAGGTGTAGCTGCCCCACAGCTGTTTTTATCCACAAAATAGGAATGTGTGCCAGTGAAGTTCTTTTAATGGGAAGCATGTGTTCAGTGTCTGGATGCTCACAGAGGCTGCATAATCTGAATATTAGTTTTGCTTGATAAATTAAGGCAAAGAGCAGACAGAGGCTACAGTTTTCCCTTTTCTGTCCAGAATTTTCTTCCTTGTCATCTGACTGAACTGCAAGTGGTTTCAGCTGTAAAGGACTAAGAAACATCCAGACTACCTTCTCTTGCCCTTGTTTAGGAGGAGGGGTATTCCACATTGATTGATTGAGGAATTATCTCATTTACAAAATGATACTCCCAACATCTGTAGGTTGCTGACATTTGTTAGAAAGCATTTTATGTGCTGCACTGTGCTTAGCAGGCTGGACTCGAGTAACGTGCTTTGTATCTGCAGCTTCTGGAAAACTTTTCCAACCACTCGTTACGATTTTGGAAGCGTTTCAGCTTCCTGATAAGGCCAGATATGCTGTCTTGAAAATAAACTTCCTCAAATCTGCAAATGCTCTCCTGTTTTGTGGGTGACTGGATCACTGAAGCTTCTTTTCACTAGGAATGCTTATAGGAAGTGTAACCTTTGGCTGACAAGACAATCTGCTGAAGTTCACCTACGAGCGCATTTTGGCTCAGGAGACGGAGCGTCTCGCCAACAGGAATCATCTCAGCTGTGCTGGACCAGCGTGTCAGCTTCCTCTGCACAGACCTCAGAATCTCAGCTGGGGCAATCTCAGAAATTGAAATCAGATGTTAAATCTTGCTTGGTAATGGTATTTCCCGGTAGCAGCTGGGTGTATTAGAGTGAAAATCCTTTCCAACAATGTTTTGTAGCAGTACTTGGCTTAACCGAGTGGCTTATTATTGCTTGATAAAGCAGCTAAGCAGAAGTTCTTTCAGGCACTTGGATCACTACATGGCCTGTTCTCTCAATCTGTTTTCCAGAGTCTGAAAACTGAGATTCACGACACGAAGTTTAAATGGCCTCAGTGTGTTGCTTGTAAACTCATTAATTCTTTTTATCAGTGTGTCTGGCTTCTCTTTTCCTGGGGAATGGCTTCTAAATATGAGGGGGTTTATAAATGTATCTTCACCTCCAGCTTTTTGCCATGAGGTCATGATGTGGAGCTTTGGTTTTAGTTTCTGATTCAAAGTTAGAAATGTATGGCTGTTTCCTGGTAGAAATCCCAAGTGTTTAAGGTTTTTAAACTCCTACTTTTGGTTACTTGAGTTAATGTGTCTTTGCTGCCTTAAGAATGGGTTTATAAAGGTAATGGATGTTTCCACTGAGACTTCCCTGGACCTAAACAGAAAAAGTTAAGTTCAGCCAGTCTTTAAATGACAGTGATGTCTTTCCTGTTTGGTAAAGATGAGACAAGAAATTTAATTTTTTTCAAAATTTTGATAAATTCTTAGATGCATTTGTATTTTAGTATTACGTCAAATACAGTTAAATTCTTAATTTGAAAGTAGTGTAATACACCTTTACAAAGGAAAAGTTGATAAATAGATGAAAACATTATTGTTTTTATTTACTTAGCCTCAGGTTTTGTTAAATGAAAATATTGCCATAGAGGGTTAGTGTTGTGGAATTAGTGTGTTTCATAGAAGAAAAAATACTTTGGAAAGTTGTCTAATAGTGGAATTCATATATTGAATTGGGGTTTTTTTCCATTTTTGCTTGTGAATAAAGCCATTAACACCATGTCTGATAGCTCTGGAGACTTTCAGAATGCACTAAGAAGCAGATTTCTGCTCTGGATTTCTTAGTCTCAGGAGGATTTAATTTGTCAACTTGTTTACAAAGTGGTTCACATGCCATGGCTGTGTGAAGTGGAACTCAGAAATAGCAGTGCTTGAGTAGATGATATATCTAAAAGAAGGTTCTTCCATTTCCCCTGAATACCTGGTCATACCTTGTTGTTCTACACCGAACAAGAGGAATTGGATTTTTCACTACCTCTCCAATTAAAGTTTCCATATTCAGGGAATTTTGTTTGAGGTGAGAGCAGGCAGTAGTAGATGTTCTGGTACAAGTTCTGCTGCTTCTTTGGTTATAAAACCAGATTTCCACAGCTCAGCTTATGCAAAGGTTCTTACCTATACAATTTTTCTTCGGCTGCTTGTAATTTCCCAGTCAGCTGCTGGACAAGGGAACAGTGAGGATCATTCATATCCTCAAAAGCAGCTTAGCTGAACCAGCACTACATGTCTTGCATCATTTTTGGGTTTGAATTCAGAAGTGCTTCAGGATATAAAACGTCCTTTTCCTTTAAATTGTTCCCCACAAGATTCCCGTCACATTTAATGCAGTCGTGCATTTCTACCCGTTGCTTGCAGAATGGAAATTGCTGAACGTTGTGGAGATGACAAGACAACTTGTTTTTGCTCACTGAGACCAAAACTTAAATGATAAAACTGAGAATTAGTTAATCCAGGAAGAACTGACACTTGAACTCTTCAGGGAAGGCTCTGAAGTTTATACAGTTTTGGCATTACTGAACTTTCTCGTGGGAGATGTTTGCTCTTGGTGTTAATTTGCATTTTGTTGCTTTTAAGTTCAGCTTGCATGGTGGTAAAAAATGAGCTTTGAGTTGTTTCTCGTACGTTAAATTTATGGCACATTCCGTTGCTCTCCAGAAGAATCAAGGGTGACAGTCATTGCTATTGACAGCAGGAGTGTGGACCTTGTGCAGTGCAGGGAACACTTGTGGAATGTGTGTACACTGAATATTACCACAACTTGCTTCCATCCAAGTGCTGCAAAGAGGGGGCTGGGGAGGGGAAGTGAACAGCGTGTGTGTGCCCTCCTATTCCTGAGTGGTGAGGAATGGGATAGGAAGAAACATCTTTATGCTTAAACAGCAAAATGCAAAGGGAAGTAATTTTCTGTTTATGCAGACCAGTAGTGGATTACTTGGCTTAAACTTCCTTCCAGCAGAACTCTCAGACTGTTCCTTTCTGCAAAAACCATTATATGCTGGCCTTTGCTTACAGTCAAATTAGTGACTTTCCATATTGAGTTTGAGCTGTCTCCCTTGCTCTCTTGGAACTGCTAATTCAAATTATGTTGTAATGTAGACACATGATTTTGTTTTGTGCTGAGATGTTTAAGTAATCAACAGTGAAGTATGCAGTGTCTGTGAGGCTGAATTTTTTTCTTTTTCCTCCTTTTGTGGTGTATGCAGAAATTCTTATTATCTTAGTTACTTGAGAGAGAAAAAAGAGGGGGGACAGAAAGCCCAAACCACTTTTCTTTTCTTGTTTCTTGTAGGTTTATGGGTGTCTGTGTGCATAAAGGACAGCTGCACGCTCTTACTGAGGTAAGACAATTTCATGATGTAAATACTGAATATGAAAACAGTTCTCAGGCCAGATTCTGCAACTGCTGTTGAGTGACGTTTCTTTTATGGGGAGTGGTGAGTTAATCACTTGGTACTTACTGTGCTGTGGGAAGGCTGCAGAATCAAACCTCAGAACTCCCCTTGTTATGTCTTTTTTCCTCAGAAGCACTTAGGATGGGGGAAAAAATCATAGTAGGGACATAAAATTTCACTGACAATGTCTGACGTAAGAGACGTGTCATTTGTTTCAATGACACTGCATTGTGTTTAAGTCTTATTTCTACTTCAGCTGCACATTTCACAGGTGAGTCAGTGACATTTCAGCTGGGTGATATTATTGTATTCAGTCCCTACCACTTTCTGATTTGGAATAACATCAAGATTACAGCTTAATCTGGGTCCCATTAAAAGGAATTATTCCACTGCCTGTGGACCCTGGCCAAGATCTGGGTATCAAATGTGAAGCTGAAGTTTCCGTTCATGTGAGTCTTCCCACCCAGTTTTACTGGCTTGTGTGTTTAATCCCTCTGTAAACTGCTCAGGAAAAATAAAAAGGGAGTATTTTCTTGTTGGGAATAGTGTTGCCTGTTTTGAGTCAAAATCAATAAAATTATTTTGCCTGTTGTATTAGTTTTAGTACAGATTGAAAGTCGTGTTTTGTAAAGTTAATGTTGCTTACTTCTGATTTGTAAGAACTGCTCCATTAAAAGATTAACCCTTTCCCACCCTCCCAAAGACAGGTATGCTATTAATTAACAATTAAAGCAGGTTCCTGGTACGGTGTGCTTGCCAAGGACTGCAGTAAAATGAGAAGACTGGATGGCTGTATGCTAATCAGCAGGATATGTGTCACCATCACTTTCTGGAACTTACATATGCGACTCTGAGGCAAAGATGCACATATATGTGGGCAGTGAATTTCTTCACCTTCTGGGGTGACAGTTCTGCAGTTCTAGTTCTGGCTGCTGCTGGAGTGATGTGCTCTAGTTCACAGTGTCTGTATTTCTAGTGTAACAGCAAAGGTAAAGACACTTTCAGAAATTTCAGGATACAATATGTGTGAGCATTCTGGTGGGAGAGGGACAGTTTTTTTGAACACCCCCCCCCCCGTGCTCAGTAGAGGAAACATTTCTAAGATGGCTGATCAAGACCTTCTGGCAGGCTTTGCTAACATTATTGCTGATTTCTTTTGGACCTCTGATCAATGAAAACAGGGAGGGTTTGTGTCCTTCCACTCACTGAACACATCCCAGAAGAGATCGAGCTTCGTAACACTTTGTCATACTAAAACTTGGCAGATTTTCCTCAGTGTGGTTTTTTTTTGTTTGTTTGGTTTTTTTCCCCTCCTTCACAGCAGTTGCTTGCCATTTAAATGTCCCTCTCCACCCAAAAGCCAAGAAAATGAAAACAGCACAGATGCTTCCTCATGGAGAGCTAACTTTGTAGCTGCTTGCTTTGCTCAGCTATTTTTGAGTTCTTGGCAAGCAAATAAATCTAAGAAAGACTTCAAAGAATAACTTTTTATAGCTCTAATTCAGAATAACAGAAGAGATTTCAGAAACATCTTGAGACCAAAGAGGAAAAGTTTTAGACTGAAGAAGATTGCTGCAACGTTTGGAGAAACAGAAGAACTTCAGTGACGTATTATAAAAGTATAATTAGTGAACACTGCTTTTCTTCTGTGGACCAAGACAGGATTTAATGCCTTCAGTATGAAAATCCATGACCAAATTCGATGTTGTAGGGGAAGACACACACAATTTTGCCCAGTGCAGTAGTTGTTCTTTGGTTTTACAAAGTTTTTAAAAGTTAAAAGCTGTCTATGTTCCAAGTGGTGGAATTAGTTGTGTTTTGTGACAACAGCAGTGGCATTTTTCATCTTGAAGTGTGTGTAGAGTAATAGCTGAGTTCTGAAGAGTTCTGGAGGTTAAAGGGGGCTGAAATGATGTGCTGGAGGAGTTATTAGTAAGATGGATGTGATGAATCACCAGTTCAAATATAGCCCAGGAGGATAAACAAATCAGCCACTGTCTCGTGGCTTTTTTCAGCCTGTGGTCCAGCAAGGTGGTCTCCTGGCTCCCAGTGCTCAGCATAATTGATACCAGCCTGGCACTACAAGCACTCAGAACTTCTGCCAGGGTTTCACCTCTCTGGAGATGAAACTGTTGATTCAGAGGCCCGTTGGTCAATAGGTGTCTGAGTCACTGCAGGGAGAATCCTCTTACACTGCCTGTGCTGGACCTGTTCTGTAAGGAGCTTAATTATCCCTTCTTGTGTTTGGAGAGTACAGTTGATGATATGCCTGTGTAAAAGGGATACAGCATCACTCAGAGCTTATGTCTGAGGGCACGATGGGAAATCATGTTTATTTAACAGAAGGAGTTGAGAACTTGAGGCCAATGTTCAGTGACTGGATTTAGAGGACTTGTGCATAATGCCCTCCTGTGCTATTAACAGGCAGGGCAACAACACAAATGTTTTAGAGGAGCCTTGAGGATTTTGTAAACTTGTTAAGGGGCTACGTTAGAAATATATAGCACTTTGTTATTGGAAGGCAGAGTTGAAAGTGTTAAGAGGCGTTTTTTGTGTGTGAGACACAGGAGAGGATCATGCAGAGCAGGTTTTTTGCTTGAGGAAGGTGTTGACCTTATGTATGCCTTGGGATTTTCCCTTTTGGCAGCATTTTGTGTTGTTTTAATTCTCCTCTCTCAAGTGGCTTTTGTTTTTGAAACTTGAGCAAGAGGCAGTTTCTGTTTGTTTTGGTTTGTTTTTTTTTTTTTTTTCAAAATAAGAATGGAATGATTTAATTATAGACTGCACTAGGACCTCGACCTTGTTCTGAATCCACAGTCTTATCAGTTTTGATAATCCAATTTTTTGAAGTTCTCAAGCCAGAAGCTATGGCATGTGCCTCTTCTGAAGTAGCTCAGTATCCTTAAATTGATGGAACAGTGTAGGCTGGGGAGGACCTCAATCCCTGCAAGCACTGAGTTAAGAAACATTTAAGGAAAGTAAATGCTTTAATAGGTGTATCACTCCAATGAGCTGGCAGGCATTAGACTGCCTCACAGACGTCAAGCTCGTGGGCACAGATTTGCTGTGCTTGTTTTCTGTAAAACCAGAAACTGGGTATTCCTTTCTCAGCGTTCAGCTCTAATCTGAAGCTGGTGGTTTGTCCCTGTAGCTCCAGGAATCTGCAGTGCCTCCTGCTCTGCTCACAAGCCTCTCCAAACTCATTTCAGCCTCAAGCCTCTCTGTGCTTTCCAGCCACCTTCCCAATCTGACAACTCTCTCTTCGCTTCCATTCCTTCATTTCCTGGCACGGAGCAGCATCCTCAGTCTTGGAGAAACTCGGGTAGTCACAGAGCTCTGGTGTCAGCACGAGGTGCTGCTGAGCACTCAGAGACCGGATTGGAGCTGCTGCCAGGGGGTCAGCAGAGCTCAGGGACAGGAACTGCATAGGATCTTATCCCACCCACATTTACCACGGAACGGCTGCATGAGCAAGCATCCATTTTGCACGAGAGGCAAACAAATTTACTGGTGTGTTGCAGGTTTTACAGGCCCGTGCCAAAGCTGATACCGTAGCTTACGGTCTAACATATAAAAGCCTCTTAAACACCTTCGTGCAGATCTTAAAACTATTTGTAGAACTCCGTTAAACAGGTTTATCTGAATTTCTAGGAGACAGGTCAGGCTAAAATCTTGTGATAATTAGATGTGTATATATGCAGAGAACGTGTCATACAGCTTGATAATTCCTTCTTGAAAAAAATTAAAGCCCTGACAGCTGTGTGTGTAGAAGATGAGGAAGGCAGTTATTATGTGTTGATTGGGATATCTTGAAGTTGCAGTGCTGCAGGGACAATAGTTAATTGTCTCAACAGAAGTTTTATGGCTATTGATTCATACTGGAAGATAGTAAAAAAGTGTGCAAATGCTCTGCTGCCACAATGTGTAGCTTTATTTGTTCCACGTGGGATTTGACGTGCTCTGGAGCAGAGAGCAGGGGCTGCTGCAGTGACAGGAGCACTTGGTCAGTGATGGGATGAAATACACATTTAACGCAGATGTATGAGAAAAAAAAATGCTGTAAGAAACATCTTGACTGTTTTGTTTGTTTGTTTTTTAAGAGAATCTGCGGAATTCTTTGAGCTTGTGCACATTTTCAGTTCCATTAATTTTTTTATAGCTGTGTCATAAACCCCAGGACAAAGTTTACTACGGAAAGCCTTCCAGACGTGGCAATTTTTATCCCGGGCAAGATAATTGCTATTGGACAATTTTGACATGTTGTACTGTAATAGTTTACTGAATTTGACACTGCTGTTTTTACCATCAACCACAATTTGATTGTTTTGAGACAAGAATGCTGTTTGGAAGAGACTTTTTTTTTTTTTTTTAATTCCTTGCATAGTGTATCCCTTTTGTACTTGTAAAACTTGTCTCAATGAAAATGCCTGTGGCTTTTGAAGGGAGAGGTTATTTTTCAGTAAGGTCTTCTATGATAACTTTCTATGAAAACTTTCCTTTTCTGCTTTCTCACCCAACTGCAATAATTTAAGTAAACTATAAATGCAATTAGTGGAGTTTCAGGTTTTCACAGACCCTCCCTTTTTAGTATTTTTCTTTTTTACTTTTGGAGATAGCACTGATTAGAAAGCAAACACACTAAAAGCTGGAAATTCTCAGCATGGTTATAATTGTGCTGAATTATCCTTTTACAAAGAATGCAAAGTAAGTTCTTCAAGTGAGAAGGTCCTTCTGATGTACAGCTTTTACTAGCAGAATCTGTCATTAAAAGTACTTCATTTTCCTCTTTTGTTTTTTCCTCCCCTCAGTTCTTAATCAACTTTTTATGGAGAACCTTTGACCCTGGAATGGAGAAAACCAGGCAGGCATCACTTAGGTCTGCTCTTCTGAGCTTTATGCTGCAGCAAAAATCGTAGGCATACATTGCCTTCTGGATGGTGATTGCT